GTAGTTCAGGCCCAGGACGCGAAAGGCCGCTGCGAGGTCCTGGGAGGTGGGGAGCGCCGCAAGTAACGCCCGGCAGCGATGGAACATCCCAAGAGAAGAAGGCACAGACTGACACAGGGACCTTTCTGAAAAGATGACACAGAGAATACAGTACCTTACGTCGGAGTAGATAACTCAATGGGAGCGTGTACTAGGGTGGAAAAAAAGAAAAAGAGAATGCGAAGAAGAAGAAAGCACTTTTCGACTTGTTTGTCGCATCGGACTTCAATCAGTTGAAGAAGTTGTTACAAACATCATGCACAAAGGAACATGAATATAGTGGGGTATTAGTTTTTCTTTCAGGTTTAGTTTTGTGTTCTTTTTTCTATAAGTGAAAACACAGATAGGTAGGTGATGGCAAAAAGCTATGCCTATTTAAAACTTAGTACAGTACGCTATTAAAAAGAATCAGCCCCCCCTCAGAAAAGTAAATGGAGTAATAAAAAATTCTTCCATTAAATTTTTAAAGGATTAATTGAGTATAAAGAAACATATCCAAACAGACAAAAAAAACGGGGGAAATAAAGGTATAATCAACGAGAATACGCGAGGAAAGCTGAATAAAGGGTATAGAAAAGAGAAAAGCAGTGAGTTTTTTCCTCTTGAGAGATATGCATCAAAAATGGTTATCATAATTCCTCTCTTATATAGGGACAAATCACAATAAGGTTATCATTTTTAATTTTATCTCTGAAGTGGAATCTTATCACTTAAAGTATATTTTTATACTTCTAAACCAAAACAAAATCACTTACTGCTATACACATAACCCTGATTTAAAACTGTTTGTATACATCAAAAAAAACATGGGCTGTACAACATTTTGAAATAGGATTGTCATATTCATTCATCCCCTACTACCCGCCTACTCGTGTAGAGCAACTTTCACTTTAAGTAATTTTTATAAATTTTACTAACAGGAACACTAAATTGTTTTGCTGTTTCAACTTCTAAATGATTCTATTAAGGCATTATATACCAATAAACACCCTAATGCTACTATTTCTACCCTTAATTTCTGTAGTGATTTCAGTTTTTGGAAAAACACACACACTAAATTGTATGGAAGAAGAATTGATGAGATGAGATGGTGTGCAGCATGGAGAAAAGGGATAGTGTACCGTGAGGCGAAGATCACTCTTTCCCTGGATTTAATAGAAGAACCTTAATTTATTACGGCATGACATTTCCCTATTGTAATATAACGGGTGATTTTGATTTTTGGCCTATTTTTCTGTTTTTTTTAATCTCACGCTTTTTCTAATCTCTACTAAATATTGATTAAAAATAGTTAAAGATATTTGTGAGTGTGTTGAAAAGTATATTATCTATACTTTTTATCGTATTCACACATAACGGCTCTTTTCCCTTTCACTACCCTGCTACAGTCAAACAATTATTATTGTTTCTTGTTTTCACTTACAAAAACATAAGATGATATCTAAAACAATAAAGACGGATGTTCAATGAAACTTTAGAATATTGAAGCGTACAACCCCTCAGTTAAATAAAAGCGAATTTTTTTCCGAATTTCTTTGACATTTGCCAAAATACGTAAGGAAAAAAAATGGCTAACTAGGGTTCGGCATTTTCTGTTACTTTTTTTCTGGCATAGTATAGAGCAAACTTAACTTTGCAATTACGCGAAGTTCAGCTTTGCAATGAAAAGAATAATAAAGTAATGAAGAAAGTTGATTCGTACCTACGAAATTATAATTAGAGTAGTGAAATTGAAACCAAAACAATATATAGAACTTTTGATTCCATATAAAAACATGTACACAAGATAAAACACGTCCAACACAAAATTAATATCAAACAGTAACACAATATTTCAAATAATAATAATACAAATGTATTACAGTTTTATACACTTATCTAACTTTATTAACCCTTAACTTTGTATTTTTGCACGCACATTTTTTTGTTCTTCTTTAAGCATACTTCTACAATACATGGTTATCTACCAAAAATATATTTTTCACACAAATCAGAGATAATCCTGATATACATCTAATTTTCCCTCCTTTCATTTTTGAAAGGATTCACAGCCTCATGCGTTTTTTTAAAGTTCGTTTTCTTATCTCTCTGTGATTCTTTAATAGAGATACTACAGAGATTTGGTACGGTATTGAGAGTGGAGTGTGGGAAGATAATTTAAATAGTAGTAGTAACAGCATACAAAAGGTTAAATTTAAAAAAAAAACTCTGTGGAAGGGTGGCATATAGTAAATAAAAAATCAATAAAAAGACATGACGGGATGAGTATTTCGGTAACTACGTGCTGTTGCTATTAAAACTTAATGAATACATTCAGTTAAAGCAAATGAAATAATAATTATTAAACTCTAGGCATAATCCCATTTAACTAAATGCCCAACGGTCTTCAAGTAATCAGAAGGAAAACATGCATATTTTAAAAATTCATATACATAAAGTCACATATTAATTTTTGTATATACATTTTAGATCTTTCTTTTCTTTTTCCCATTTGCCCTAGGTAATAATTCTCCACCTTTTTTTTTCATATTCTACGGTTAGATCATTCCCTCATTGTGTATTATGTAACAACTTAATATTCGTTCGTTGTAATACATTTATGGGAAGAAAGATTAAAAACAACAAAAGGAATTTTAAAAAAATGAATTCAAAACTGAGGAAAGTAAACTGTGTTCACAGTAAAGGTAGAAACGAACTACTGACAGTATTATCGGTTAACGTCAGTTTAAACATTCACGTCACCAGAAATTTTAAATAATGATAGCAAGTACTACTTGCATCTGTGAACGAATGATTTTCAAATAAAGTAACATCAGTTCAAGAAAAGGAAGCAATCGAAGGTTTTAGTAAACTCATATCGGACGCTCTTTTAGTCGGTCATGAGTGCGGTAGATCCGATTAAAATAGATACGTCTCAATAATAAAGCCAACATTTAGGCGACAATATATACATCAAATCCAGCATATACTTTTTACACTTTTATTTTTTAGGTATGCGTCAGTCACTTTCACCTACCTCTTTTCTTTGATGTAATTCCTCCAATAATTCACAGCAAAAAGATACATGTACCAATCTGATGTTTCTAATAATAATAATAATAGTAATAATAAAGAAAAAAAAATGGAAAATAAAGAAGGGATAAAAGTAGCAATGTTAGATATATTGAATAAGTCTCCATGTTTTTTTTTCGTGTATCAGTCGCTGTGTTTACGAACTTTCGGTACTGCCGGCGGGAAAGGTAAAGACGACCTCCGCCAGCTCCAGTCGAGCGAGCTCGGTGGCGACGTCGTCGACTTTGGTGACGTCGCCGTAGACGTGAACAAGGAAGGTAATGACGTTCATCCCCATCAGCCACTCCGCGTCGAGGAAAGTGACCGGGGCCTGCATCTCCTCCGCCAGGCGGCAAGCGTTCTCAAGGGAATTGAGGTCGTACCGGCGCATCTCGAGTTTGGTGTCCTTGTCATGATCACGCGCGTGGCGGATCAGCCGGGGCAGGGTCCCCATCTCCTCGTCGGTGAGGTAGTTGGGGTCGTCGTTGCCCTCGGTGTAGAAGGTCGCGGGCCGCACCGTCGTGATCGCGCTGACGATGCCCATGTGCATGTTCTTGTTGAGGGGGTACTCGGCCACAACCATGTCCCCGGGCTGGATGCGGAATGGCGCGATAAACCAGGCCGAGCCGAAGCGGAAGTTTACCGAGGCGTAGCGAAAGATCGAAGGACGGGGGAATT